AAGCTACTTGCAAGTTCTGAACTGACCCTGATCACACAGTCTCAATGTGCAGCTTGTGAGACCCAACACAAACTGAGCACGAAGGCATAAAGGTCTCCAAAAAGCCACTGCCAATAAAAAAAAAAAAATCCATTTCTCCAAAACAGCAGCAACTGCTGGAGCCAGTGATTCTCCGAAAGAATCCTGACCTTGAAGGTATTTAACAGGTGCCTCTCATTATCTCCACAGTTGCTCCTTCAAATGAAACTAAAGTACATTTTTAAATAAGGCTTAAAAGCAGAGCCTGAGTCACCCAAGCAGCTTCACCATTTAGTGCAGGAAATTACAGAATTGTTAAACAAAGCTTCAGCTTGATATCAGGCAACAAATCCATCCATGTGCAAACTAAGACCCCAGTTTAATTTCATAGCCAGGATCCCTCTGCCTTCAGTCCATAAACAGAAGCAAAGGTCTGCCAAGGACAAGCAGAGACACCACGTTATGTCTGCATTTGTCAACAGCACTGGAAAGCTGCATCAGCTTCTTCCTGAACTGTACAGTAAAAGATCAACATTAGTTACCTGAAGAGCCAAACAGGTAAGTTGAAAAAAAATAGAAACATGTTTATGAACAGAAAACACTTCAGAAACTTTATTTACACTGTCAGGGAGGCAATGGTGAAGGAGCAACTTCGATCAGTCAGAAAAAGCCACTGTGAGAAAGAGGAATTTAATAATGCAGGTCCTTTCAGATTAACACAGAATGACTGTTTCAAATCTAAAGCTGCTTCATGTATAAAGTGGTCCATCCATCAGAACAGCTTCCCAAAAATTACCACAGAATTTATCATTGTAAACACAGGTGAGAACGTTCACATAATCCCTGGAATGGTTTGGGTTGGAAGGGACCTTAAAGAGCATCCAGTTCCAACTCCCCTGCCGTGGGCAGGGACACCTTCCACTAGACCAGATGGCTCCAAGCCCCATCCTTTAATTCTGCTTTCTCAAAAGTCCACATTAAACAAAACTCACCTAATTCATACTAGCTCTCCTTAGGGTCTAAGGCCTTAGCCAATTCATTTATTTTAATAGTTGACAATGGAAAATTTACATAGAAAATGTTGACAGCAATTTCAAAGCGACAACAACACTAAGGGACAGCCCTTAGAATTTTGTCTAGTTAGATAAAAAAATGTATTAGATATTGCAAAACCCATTAAGCCTGTAAGACAGAGGGCTCCTCAGCTGAGGATGCACCAGGTTAATGAGTAGCAAACAGAAATTTTTGATTAGTAAGGAATATTCCATTCATGTGCACACAGCTATTAGAAACCCCATCAAACCCCTCAGAACTGGCTGCAATAGAACAAGTCAAAACATCCAATGTCAGCTACAAAATCTTTCACTGCTGGAGAACCCAGCCATTGGCAATCTCGTGTCTTTGGTGTTCCTCCTTCAACTTACGTATTTTTAATCAAGTGAGTTTTCTGCGAGGTCACAGCTGCCCGTGGACACCACCCAGCCCCAAAGGAAGGGGGATTTAAGGGCACCAAGCCACTGACACCTGCCTTCAGTGACAGCACCCCCGCACCAGGCACCGGCTCCTGCACACAGAACAAAGCCAGGCCTGAAGGACACTTGGAAAAAAGTCATCAGGGCACAGATCAGAGTTGGGGACAAAGGGGCACACCTCAAGACATCAACGAGATACCAGACGAGTCAAACAAAAGCTACTGACAAACAATGCACTGGGTACTTGTTACTGCATTCAGCATCTCCTCAGCTCCCTCCAGCCACACGTTCCAAGAAATACATGATGAGACATTACTTTGACAGGACCCCAAACAAAGCTGCCTTTTTTTTTTTTTTCCCCCTCAAAAAAAAAAAAATTAAAATATGAATGTTTCTGCTTCACCAAGAAATCCAGAGCCTTTTGTGAGCAGATGATGCTACGAGCAGCTGTACTACAAGCAGATTCACAATCAAGTCAGATGATCTCTTCTTTACCAGCCATCTTGACCTGTCTGGCTCGATTTACATAAACTGTGTCTATTCACTACAACACTGATTATGTAAAAACTCGGCAAAACCTTGACCAAACACGCAGTGCCACATCACTGGTAGGGCAGACACGTAACAGGCTGCTGGGAGAAGGTTGTTAGGAACGTGTTTGCAGCGACGACCGATGTGAAACGCCCTGGGCTTCACTTGGGCTCACATTAAGGTGCAGACGAGCAATCACAACTATTGCGAGACAACACAGCAGCGTGTCCCGGGGTGGGAGAACCACCCACTGCCAAAAAAACCCCACGCCTTCCCCCTCGATTTAAAGGTCAACAACCTCGCTTTAATACTGCCGAGACAGAGCAAGAGCAAAAGATAAAGGGAAAGTTTTGTCATCTTAGAAACAGGACTCTCAGCAGCTTGCCAGGTGTGCCAATTCCTTTGTTCATCACCCTTTTCACCACCTAATTCAAAAGTCTCGCAGCTCAAGACACAAGTTATTCATCAACATCACAATCAAGCCCCCTTTTTTTTTTTTTTTCAAAAAAACAACAACCCACACAGTGTCTCAAAACAGCTTTTTTTTTTTTTTCCCCCTCCTCTTTTCAAATCTAGCTGCGAGGCTGCGCTATCAATTTTAATCAGGCAGTTGTAACAGGAGCTGCTTCGCCTCTGCCAGTCCCCAGGTCTCGGTTTCACTACGGGGAGGAGAGCAGACTTAACATTGTCTTATTTAAATCAAGCTCCAGATTACAAGACTTTAATACAAAAACAGGTATTAAGAGGGGTTTTTAGCACACTGAACAGATGCTTAAGCTGTTCCAAGAGTTCCTGGTCACAAATGTTGAGTCACCAAAGAAAGAGGAGTCGTGTTTGCATTATTTATGGCAGTAGAAACAACATTCAGGACATCTCCGATAGGACACGCACTAATCAACTCCTGAAGTGGCAAATGGATCATAAATCCCCAGTCTGAGGTTCAAAAATGAAAAAAAAAAAAAAAAATAGAGTTCCTGAAGTCAGGGAATTTCCTGGACTGCTTCCATCATGTCTCCCTATTCCCACATCCCAGCTCCCAAGCACATTGTGTGAGCAGTGACAGCAAATGCCCCATTGTTTCAGCGCAGTGACCAGAGAGACTCAGCTCCCCGCTCCCAGACTTCTTGTTCCCGACTGCACTGCAGGGACAGGAGGCTCTGTTTGCTTTTCCAGTACATGTTACACCTCAGGAGATGTGACCTCAGCAGTTCTACAGAACAGCTGAAACTCAAAACACGACCTAAACTCAGCCATATGAAGTTTATTTGAATTTCGCTGGCGTGTTTCAACACACACAGCGAAGATCAAGACCCCAGCAGAACCGATAAGCAGAGATCAATGGGTTCCCATATTAAAGGCAGAGCACACCAGACTTTGCCAGGTTAAGATCAGAGCCAAAACATTTCGTACTTCTGTACTTTCAGCTGCTGCTAAAAATAGTAGAGCAACAGAAAGGAAAATGCTTCCAGCTGTGCACAAAGAGCCTCTGCAGCACAACATCAACTTATGCACTCTAATTTAATTAAAGATTCAGCACTATACTATGACTTTATCGTCAGAGACAGTGTTGCACAGCTGAGCTCACCACTCCATTTCCACAGCTGAAACAGTAAGAACATTTCCTTATTAAATTTAGGGCGATATGGTTATTTCTCACGAATCAAGGGACTTAAATTCAAGCATTTCCAGTACCAGCTACGCCACGTTCACGGGAGCAGCCGTGTTTTATTCCCCAGTAACTGCATCTTGACCCAGTCTCGTGACAGGAAACATTTAGCATCCCTTAAGGAAAAAAGGTGCACTGTTGGATACGAGCACCCATCCTGGGCTGCTTTTTTCAAACAGTTCTTCCGCAGGGGTGAACGCAGCTCTCTCTGAAAACGACTCGACCAAAACAAAACAAAAAACCCCTAAGAAACCAGAACAGGGTTTCCCACGACCTTGCAGCAAACATGTACCAGATTCTGGGGAGCGGGGGGGGGGAAGGATGCTGAGGCTGTTCTGCTTCCACGGCTGGCTCGAAACCTCTCTGCTCCGTGTTTACGGCTAAAAAATTATTCCATTAACCATACGTTTCCACGCGTTAAAGTATCAGAATTAAGCATCTCTCCTAAGGGTTCAGAAGGGCTCTCAGCAAGCGCGGCTTAGACGCTTCTCCCTCATCTGCCTCCGCGGCGCTCAGCGAGCTCCAACAGCAGGGCAGCAGCGTAATGCCAAGCGGATTACTTTAAGATCCACATCAAGCCGAGAAAATAAACATTTCCACTACGAATCTGAATAGAAGCACTTCACCCTCCTCCTCCTCCTGTCCCCCCGCGCCTCTCCTCCTCATTCCCGAGTCATCTCCCCCTGCCATCTGCAAGGAGGACGCCGTCTCCCGGAGCCGGGCGGGCTCACACGGCGGCGGCGCCGCCGGAGGGACGGGGTGGTGGGTGTATCTGCGTGTCATAACGCGGAGCCCCGCACCAAGTTTCTTCTTCCCCAGACCCGCCGCGACATCTCCCCCCCGCTACCCCCCCGCCGGTCCCCGCTCGGCCCGTTCCGCCCTCGGGCGCCGGGACCGGCAACGGCCGCGCCGCGCGGTCCCCTCGGGCACCGGGACACCCCCTCGGGCATCGGGAGCCCCCCGCTATCCCTCCCCGCTCCCCTCTGGCACCGGGACCCCCACACATACACACACTTCATCCCTCCCCTGCTCCCTCAGGCACCGGGACCCCCCCCCGCCCCGGCCGGCTTTGATCGCTCCATTCACACCCCGGGCCCCCCTCGCCCCCCAACGGCGGCTCCGCGCGCTCAGCGGGCGGTGGGAAGGCGGGAATCGCCCCCTCGTCTCCCACCCCCTCCCCGCTTCCACCTCCGAGCGCCGAGACACCGAGGGGAAAGAGCGGGGGAGACATCGGTAGGAGAGAGCGGGGGGAAGCCCTTCACCCACCCCCCCCTCGGCCCCGCGCAACCCCGGCTCCCCTGCCCGGCGCTCACCCCAGCACCACCAGCTCCCCGTACTTGACGGGCTCCTTGTTCAGCGCGCACAGCTCCTCCTGGCTGGGCGAAAACATGGGGCCGCCGCCGCTGCGGTCGCACCGACGGCCGCCTTTCCCCCCCCAACCCCCGCCAGTCCCGTCCCAGCCGCCGCCGCCGCGGGGCGCGTCCCGAGCGGGCTCCGCTCCGCTCTGCGCCCGCGGCCGCCGGCAACGGCCACTACACCGCCGGTGGGGGGGGAACGGGGGCGGGGCCAGCGCGGGCACGGACCAACCCGCCGCGCCGGGGGAGCCGAGGGGGGAGCGCCGCGGGTGGCCCCGCCCTCCCCGCGCATTTTAATGGCCGGTGGAGGGGGCGGAGCGAACCACGCGGAGCACCGCCCCCTTCCCGAGCACCACCCCCCCCTCCCCCGGGCACGGCGAGCAGTGGTACGGCCCGGCCGTGTTATGTAAACATAGAGTAAAGGGGGCCCGGCCGCTCTTAAAGGGGCCGCGCACCCCGCGGGGCCGGAGGGACCGGGGGGCTCCGATCGCTTCTGAGGGAGGGGGTTCTAGGTCACCTCACGGTGTGTTCCGGGTCACCTGTGAGGTTCCAGATCACCTGGGCGTGTCCAGGTCGCAGCGGTGTCTCCAGCACCGCCGCCTGACCCAGGTTTAGGTCACCTGCGGGGCTGGGTGGCTTTTTGTCTGCGCCGCGGGTTCTGCATCGCCTCCCCGCGCCTTTGGAGATCTGTGGTGCTCTGGGTTCCCCCGGGGAGCTCCTGGGTCACCTCCTGCCCCAGCGGGAGGGGGCTCGGACCACCACCCACCTCCTGCGCCTTCCACTTGGTGTCCAGCAATGGGGCACCATCAGCTTCTGCACTTGTGGCTGGGAATGCCCTCCCCCCCGTCTCCCATTCCTGGAGGTGGCAGGAGCCCACCTTCCAATCCCTTCTGCCCATTGTCCTCTTCTGAGGGTACAGAAATGCCCCCCCCTTTGTTCATTAATGGTCTTGAAGGTCCTTTCCAACCCAAACCATTCCATGACTTCCAAGGATTTCCCCCCCACCAGCGTCTCCCCCACCACTGCCTTCTCTCCTCCTTTATCCTCTGTGCCCAACTAAAGCCCCAAACCAACAAAGATTGGCTTGGCATTGATCAAAGTCGAGGATGGAAATCCTCATTAGCCAAATATTGGGGGTCTCCAAGCCACTAACAAAGACAAAAGTAATCTCAGCATCCACCACGCTGCTCCTGGCCTTTCCCAGGGAGCAGCCTCTGGGCTGGCAGAGTCTGACCCAGGATCGAGTCCTGTTCCTTCTGCTGAAAGCTTTCCCTGCACTGGAAATTGTATTTAGCTATTAATTTTCCCCAGTAATGTTATTTTTCTGTCGTTCTGGTGAAGAGGTGAAATGGAAAAACCCAACCAATCTCGCAGGGCCACACAGTGGAGATCTTCCCAGGGGCTGTGTGAAGAAGACAAGATTTTATTAAAGACAGGGAGCTGAATTATTGCAGATTTATCTTCTTTATTGCTCTAACAAAATAGAAAACAAAGCCGGGCTGCAAGTCACTGTCAGAGAAAACAAATACATCCCCAAAAACAAGGTGAAAAACAAACCTCCCGGCTGTATCTTCAGCTTCTCCATTTCTTCCCTGAAAGCAAGACCTTCACAGTAGCTTGGCTTTCACGTGGCATAAACAAACTTCCAACACTTCCAAAAATTGCTCCCAAACGGCTCAGCTGGGCTTCCATAAGTCAAACCTGGCTGGACTTGGAACATCTGCCCCATGTGGGGATGGAGGGGTGAGGAAGGACCTGCAAGATCTGATTTTGCTTCTTTCTCCCACTTTTTCAATCTCTAACACTGAGCTTTTTGTAGAGCAAGGGAAAGTTGCACAAAATTTTACACACAAAGTTCATAACCACGAGGTTCTGCACCCTTTGGCCAAACCTGGTTTTTTTCAGCTGTCATTGAACACAGAAATGCAGAAATTATTAAATACAGCAAATGCACTGGTTTGCATTGCTGAAACATAACACTAATAAATTCAGAAAATGTGCTCCTTTGCAATGCTGGAAAAAAAAAATTAAATACTGAAGATGCTCTTCTTTGCATTGCTGGAAAATAAATGTGCAGGGGAAAGAGCCCAGCAGGATTCACAGGGGAATATTTACATCTGATTTATTCACAGGAGGTGGATGAGCTGCGCTGGGATGAGGAGTCACACACCTGACATGTACCTGTAGTGGGAGACTGTGCAATAACCCCTGAGCCTGGGCTGATCCATTATTTTTTTCCTTGGAAATGTGCTTCATTTGTTCATGCCCAATCCCTTCATTCTGCACCTCCCCACGGGGTGTTTTAGGCTGGCAAGTGAAGAGGGAAGATGAGCCTTACAAGGTGTTTTAAGGACTGCTGGTCTTTTCCTCCCAAACTGTAGCTTTTCTCATTTCAATTCCAATGGGACCAATTGCTCCCAGCACTGGAGACACACTTTTAATTGTTTAATTTTTAACTTTTTTTTTAATTTTAGGCTAATGAGGCAGAGCCAGGAGGAGAGAGCAGCTCTGCTGAACGCTGCACAGCTCCCTGACCCACACAGACCACAGCCCCAAATCCCAGCACTGCTATTCCCTCCAGCTCCAAACATTCCTTTTGCAACTGCTGGGAGCAACACTTGGCTGGCATTTTTCCCCAAACCCATTGAAATAATTGAGAAATATCCCCACAGCTGCATTCCACTGGTTTTTTTCAGCTCAAAATGTCTCGTGTTTTCGGATTCAGGATGGCTCAGCGTGGCTTTTGAGGGCTGCAAAGGGAGGTTTGGTAGTTTTCCACTGGAAGTGAGAATCACAGATAACTTGGATCACCTTCCCAGCAGCATCAGTGCTGTGAGAGGGAGTTTGCTCCCAGGTTTAGCAGGAGCAGCTGCCTGGCTGGATGGAGGGGTATCCAGCCAAGCCAGACGAGCATTAAAATCAATGTTTGGGGGGAAAAAAAAATCTCAAACATGAAGAAACAGTACATGCCCATTTATTTTTAAAATGTTATAAAAAAGTTATTTTAAATGCAGGAAGATTAATAAGGCTCTAATTCAGCAAAGTGCTTCCAGATGTGCTGGACTCCGGGTGTACTTCAGTGCTTTTATGAATCGGGGCTTAGGGAATGGGTTTAAAATGCAGAGAACTCATTGAAAGAGGTTTTTACACTAAAAGAGGGCAGGTTGAGATTGGATATTGGGAAAAAATCTTCCTTATGAGGGTGGTGAGGCCCTGGCACAGGTTGCCCAAAGAAGCTGTGGCTGCCCCATCCCTGGAAGTGTCCAAGGCCAGGTTGGACGGGGCTTGGAGCAACCTGGGCTAGTGGAAGGTGTCCCTGCCCATGGCAGGGGGTTGGAATGGGATGGTCTTTAAGGTCCCTTCCAATCCAAACCATTCTGGGATTCTTTGAGTCTAAATAGCCCCTGAATCACACCTGCAGCTTCCACTGCACGTGAAACTCATGTCGATCAGCACATAAATAAGGATAAAGGTTTCCATTCCCAGCCCTGTACTGTTGACATTCAAAGAAAGGTTTCCAGGAGTGGGATCAGGTTTGTGTTCAGCCATCGCTGTGGATGGTTGGAAAGTTGATCTCTGAGGTTGCAGCAGCCTGGATTTGGTACTCCAGGGGGGGAATAAACCCCAGGAAAGGAGAAAAACTGTCTCAGCTCCAAGGTTAGGATTAAGCAGGTATGACCTGGGTGGGTGCAAACCTTTCTGGCTGGAAAGTCTCCAGCTGGCAGGTGAGTGAGGCTCTCCAGCAACCATCAGGTGGAAACAGCAGAATAAAGAGCTGTGTTTTAAAAAGAAAAGGTGTTTTAAAATTAGATTTGATAAATAAACTGCAGGAAAAATAAAATGGGATTGCTCATAACGACATGTGTGGGGGATCCTCTCAGTCCTGTGTTTCAGAACTTCAGTGCCTAAAACAGATCAGGCTAAAAGAGGTTTGCTTTTTCTTACACCATTTGGGCATCATTTGAACCTCCTATCATCTAACTCTCCACTGTGGCATATAATTGTCTTGATTCCCAGTAACATCTAAAATTTAGAGAGGAGAATTGCATTTAAAAAATAAGTGGAAGAGCTAAAAGGATAAAATACATCCAAATACCCCAGCAGCAGCTTAAAGATATGGTACAGACTCCAGCTTACCACGTAACACTCCTTAATAAAGACCCTAAAGGATCTTTTAAAAGCAAAGAAGTTAGGTAGCAGAGTGAGGAAGGCTATTAGGAACAAAAAAGATAGCTGTCAAAATTGAGGAAAACAGAATATAGCATAAACACTGGCAAATATAAAACCACAATAAGGCAAGTGGAAAAGATATTGCAGAGCAGTTTGCCAGAGGCTTAAAAAAAAAGCACATAAAAACATAGAAGAGACAGAAAGTCAACCAGGGACTCACTGGGACCAGCAAAGAGTGAAAGTGAGGAGGAAGTTTTGGGTGAAATAAAATGCTGGTGGGTCAAGTAAATGAGCTTCACATGAGCTGGAGATGGAGATTCCCACAGCAAAGGCCTCATTAGGGTTATCAGACTCTGCAATGAGTCTGATAAGCTTCTTAAATACGAGTGTCAGCAACAAAGATTTTGGAATAAACAAGTAAATAGAGAGAGGAGCACATTTCCATGGTGAGATGTCACTGGCCCAAGCCTTGGAAAGAGATTCAAATATAATTCTAGGAATAATTGAATCTGTATAATTATATTTTACAAAACATTGTATTTGTGTAAATACAGTATTCTATATTTGTATAATTTTATGAAGGATTGTATTTGTCTGCAGGATGAGAAATAACAAACTTGCCACTGAAGGAACAAGGCTAAGAGCTTAAACTTTAAGAGTTTAGGTCTGAGAGGAAAATACAATCGAGTTCAGGTAAATATGGATACCTGGGATGCAGTGGGAAGATCTGATACAGCAGGGAAAAGGGCAGTAGGAGGCTTTTGCAGAAAGAAGTCAAAGTTTATAACACATTCACACCCCTGAAGCAGTCAGTGAATATGTTGGAGAAGGTGATTGCACGTGTATCACATTCCTGGGGTTCAGGAAAGCTTTGCCACTGCGAGAGCTGTCAAAGAGATAAAAGTGGCATGAGATAAAGAAAGGCCTTCATGGATTAGC